TAATCATAATGGAATCCATTATCTGATTTGATGTGATAATCTAAATTACCTCATTCACAGGTTTAATAAGTTTACACATCATACCTAAATTTATTTTTTTAGTTTTTTATCCTTTAATTTTTCTAAATATTTTTCTATAAATTAATTGAGAATTAGAATTTTCTATAAAAATCTTACAATTTCACCTAAATATTTTTTTAAAAGTTAATAGTTAATTTTATAAACATATATTTTTAGAATTATCACAATCTCGTATAAATATCTTTTTAAAGTTGGAATTTAATTTTATAAATATTTATTTTTATTATAAAACTGAATAACAATAATTTATAAAAACAACAAAATTATTACACTTACTAAAATAAATTCATGATCTAAATTGTAAAATGACCAAAATTAAAAATTCATGATCAAAATTGTAAAATAACCAAAATTCATAATCTAAATTGTAAGATACCCAAAACTAAAATAACTAAAACTAATTCAATCTGATATCATTTCAATATTAAAAAAAAATATATATCTCAAATTTTCAAATTTTCTACTAGTCAGTCAACCAAGCCAAGCTGTATTTAAACTCGTCAAATTAACTTTCATACAAAAAAAAAAAACCAAATGAGTAGGATTCAAGATAAGCACTTGATATTGTTAGAAAAAATATCTCATTGCACTTTTTTTAAGTTTTAAAATATATAGTCTGACCACAGCGGAGGCAAGCTCTTTGCTATTGAGGCCAGGGAGAGTCAGATGAAACCAGATTTCAGAAACCACAGGTTATATAGAAAGCACGTTTTACATGGTCATAGAAAGTACAATTTATGGAATTCTCTGTTTAAAGACAAGCCAGAAGTTGCATAAATATACACCAATTTGCAACATTCATTAATATTTATATCACCAAGGAGACTCAGAACTCCCTGTCTGGGAACAGAATAGGAGCGACCAGAGACCAGGTGTAGAGACCTGCAGTTGCCCACCCAGTCAAGATACGTACCCATACAGAGGGCCACCCCACATCTACCAGCTTTCCACTCTCCCCAATGGAGGTTGACCATCCAGTCAAAAGCATTGCAGAGTACATGCTTGCAAGAGAGAAGATGATGTGGAAGAAGGAATAAGAATAAGTGACTGGCTTACGGGCCTTCTCCTTTTCTTCTTGTTCGTTTGCCTTGTTGTCCAATGGAAGCAAAGGTTTATCAGCACCTAATCCACAAGCAAAATGTCAGATTCCATTAAAAAAAAGTCATATCAGAGGGACACGAGAAGCAAAAACAAATTCTTATGAAAGCACATTTGGGGGCAAAAAAGAACATGTAGAAAAGTAGGTACTCCTAAATGAGACATATAGATGAAGTTTTGGAATTTTTCATGGTGCAGAAACATTTTTATTCAAAAGAATTTCTGCACAAGTTCTTGGGATATCATATGAAAACTCTTATAAAAAGTCTGAAATGTTTGATAAGGATATACCTGCACGGGGTGAACTTGGTGGTGAGAGCAGGGCAGTAGAGGATCCAGCACGGACAGCAGAGTAGACTACTGACAGAACAGTGGTCAGCAGACCAATGGAAAGAGTGCCGGTAGAAACAGCTTTTGAATGCCTGTGAAGACCATTGCATTCATATTCCCTTGGTTCGCTGGCAAGTCCACTGTAGCATAGGTACATGCAGTACAAGGATATAACTGAAGCAGGCAAAACACTGCCATTTACCTGTGTTCCATGAAAATGACAGCCTATGAGACAGAAAATCAAAAGTTCTAATACCAGGAAAGAAACAAGTACAGCTATGCACACTAGGCATCCATGAAAATAACATAACAAACCATGATAGATATTATCAAATCTGCAAACAGAACAACCACGAGCACCCTCGTGGAGAGCACATTACAGGTTTTTCATTGCAAAAGAACATGCAACATGAGCACAGCACAGAAGTTTCCTTATTCCTGAGGACCATGAGGAATTAAGTAGCATCCATGAAATGATTAGAAGTCCCAACATGTATATCATCATTCATGGAAGACAATAAGTCCCTTGATACAGGGACAAATATCAGATAAATCTTGCATTCTTCTAAGATTTCAGTACTCCAAAGCTTATTAACACATCGTAGAGGGATAACAAACAAATATGGACCATTTAGTAAACCATCCTATCAGCATAATAGGTTTATCTAACTTAGAACTCCTAAAAGCTTGAAATTGCATGACACTGGTCATGGGACCACTGGTCCAAATCTGTGATATGTGTGCGCACGTGCACCTAATACATATAAACGTTGACAGGGTTGGGGCATACATGTTCACTGCAATCCTTGATGAGCCTTTCTTGTATAATTAAAAGTATTATACTCCTTATAACCAATTTTGTAGGCTCAGTCTTTTCTAATCAAAATAGAACACAACACGTAAAAACAAACTTATTTTGGAATCAAGCACATCTCTCTTACAATGTATCAGTTTTGAAAGCACACTTGAGAAAGTAAGAAGATGAATGGTCATAATGGTTGGATTTATTGGAACACAGAGAATTAAAACTTACTGCAGGGTGCAGTGCAACGATAGCAAAAACAAATGCGAAAATCAGGGTCATAACGATAAAGAAGGTGTTTAATCCACAATCCTGTCCAGATGGAGTGAACCAATGAAAGAGAAGTCCCGAGAAGGCAAATGTTCCCACGTAACAAACAAGCGACACAACAAATAGAGCAACATACCTAAACAAATAAAATTGCAAAATAAGAATCAGTTAATCTGGTCATGGAATGGGAAATAAGAGGGCTAAAAGAAAAGGAAAAACTAACCAGAACTTTTCATCATATCCAACCCATTTGTCATTCCATCCATGAACGAAATCCAATAAAAGCACAACTTGAACAAGAAGAAACAATCCTGAGCCAAATTTGGATATTGACTCTGCAAATTAAAAAGTCTAACTTATCAGCTAGTGTCAAACTACAAAAAGTGTTTCACAGAGAACGACATTGGAAGATCAGAAGCAGACAATCAATATCTAATAGCATGTCATCAGTCAGCACGTACTAAGAATTTTAGATTAAGCATTGCCTTAGTAAACATCATATCAATAACACAAGTTAATATCTATCAATAACCCTAATCAGAATTTGATAAGTAATGCAATCCAACTAACTGATACAGTGTACAGTATATTTAACTCCTGAAGTAAGTTCATTTCAATCATTGCTACTCAAACAGGCTAATGCTGTTGTGTTCAAAGCGGTAGGTCATTGACCTGCCCATATATCATACTTTCTATCACTACATAAAGAGAACCCCTTTTCACATTTGCATTCAATATCAAGCGCACTCAACTCTCAACACATCCTCTCCAAATTGCACAACAAACCGATCAACAACTCATAACAATCTAACACATTTCAAAACAACAAAACTACCAAAAAAAACCACAATTCAGCACTCAACCAGAGTCCAATGGGCCAGTCACAAAACCAATTTACCATAAAAGCTGACGATCTCATTCGGAAGGAAAAACATAAGGATCACCAAAATACACCAACAAACAACTTTAGCCATCCATCCACCATGATGCAAACTATCACGCGGATCCTTCTGATTTTTCACACCAACCATCATGGTCGCCAGTATAGTAAAAAACATAAAATTCCCCAAACTAACACGCAAAACCGCGTCCGTCTCGAACCATTCTCTATCCGGCGTCTTATGAAAATGATTAATCCCTAACATCCAAAACCAACAAAAATTATAATCATCATCATTAAAATTGGTGAAAATTCTTCGGCGAAATTAAAGGGGCTTGCTTACAAGGGAGTTTTTCCATAAGAGGGGCCGCAACTTCACGCAGAATCCAAGAAACTATTAAAGACAAAGCAAAGAGACCACAGTAGGCGATCCTGGCGGATCGTCTGCTAATTCCAGATACTACAGTCGTACAGGCATGACACGCACAAGTAGCGCAACACGACGCCAGGCAAGAAGCTGCCCACATCTTGTTTTTCAACAATCTAAACAAAATAAATAAAGAAAAATCAAAACTTGATCCAAAAGAACAAAACCCTAATCGGAGAAGGAGAAATTAGATGGTGGGTACCTGAGAGAATTGGAAGCAGAGGATCTGATTACAAGAGGGGAAAAGGATGAGTTTGTTCTTTGCTTACTCGTTCAAGAAAGATTGGTGCTTTTTGGTCTCTACGGTGTGGTTTTCTGCTTTTCCTGGAAGGTTCGTTGATGCTTGCCGTTGGATTATGCGGGTGGGACCTGTCTTTGTGGAGGGTAAGGATCAGGGCACAGTGGTTGTTTTATCTAGAAAATCACCGAGCTTAATTGCGCCGGATTTCAAGTTAAATTAAAAACAATTACGCGGTGTCACCCCGTTCATCAGTTGTTTTTTCTTTATTATTATTATTTAATTGATGCAATTAAATTCGGTTTAAACTTAATTTTTTAAAAAATAAAAATTTATCATTTTAATATAAAAAATAAAAACAGCTTTCATTGAAAATAATTAATTTATTTTCTTTCTGGGTTCCAGATTTGACAACTCTGAATTAGAGAAGCATGCAAGGTTTTTTTTTATCATTTTTATTTCATGCACTATAGAGATTCTTTATTTTTATAGTCCAATGATCTACTTCATTTGATTGTTTATTTTAGATGTTGGGATGTTGAGAAATATAATAGAATTTGGAAATGAGTAAGGTTCTTGGATCACGAAAGAATAAGAACATTGATTGTTGCCATTTAAATATGTTAAACTTATAGCTATCACAGTAAATTTGCCTCCTTTTATCTTTATGATTTTCTTCATATTTTACGAAATATTAACTAGAGATCCACTTTCTTCTCTTACAGAAACTAAGTTATCAATTAAATTACTTTATTTTATATTATTATTATTATTATTATTATTATTATTATTATTATTGTGTGTGTGTTGCGAACACCTAGAAATGGTTTTGGTTTCAAACACAAAAGAAAAGGTCAATTCAAAATAAATTAACTTCTATATATAAACATTTTTAAGAATCTAAATCATCTACGACGCAAATAAAAACAGAAAATAAGAAGTTTATTGCAAGTTGAAAAAAATTCTTAAAAATCAAGAATACTATAATTATAAAGAAACTCAAAATACTTAATGTTGATTCACCATAGTCTTCGCTTGCTATAAGTTTTTATGGGTTTTTATAAAGAAAAAAACTAGAAAACTCTTGTGATACTAGATAGGAAAAATAAATTTGAAAAACTATTATCTTCAAATATGAAAAATAACTAAAAAAGCATAATAATAAAAAATAGAAGGAAAAAATAAAATTAAAAAAAATATTTATTTTAAAAAAAAATCCTGCATCAATCTCCTCCAATTAGAAAGAAATCGTTATTAAATTTAAACTTCAATCAACAATTTTCATCTACCATGAACATCTAAACTTAGTCATAACTAGTTTTAAAAATCCTAAAAAGGATAGTCTTTAAACTAGGTCATTGTCCATACTTTTATATGGATCGAATCAAATTCTTTAACATAAAAAAATAATATTCAAGTAGTGTTAAGTGTTTTTTAGCAAAAAAATAATTATATAGAGATTGATCTGATATGATATGATTGTCTTGATAAATTCAAAAATAATCTGAATAATCGATAAAAATGCAATATTACTTTAAAAAATCAGAACAACATCTTCTTTTAAATTTTAAAACAATAACATATTAGATGGATCTTAATAAATTCAGGTTAACCTGTTTAATTTGTTATCTAGGTCATGAGACCATGATAACTATATGGAAAACAAATAAAAAATATTATTAAATTTAATTCTCAATTATCTCAATATATTGAATGATGAAATTGAAAACGAAATACAACTAAAAAATAACTCAAGTCAATTTAAGTTAATTTTTCAAACATTGGTAATAAGATTAAGATAACCTTATAAAAAATAAATCAAAAAAATTTATGAAACTCGATTTCTAATCTTCCAAATATTGAAGGATGAAATTAAAAAAATAAAAAAAATGACCCAAGTCAACATAACAAATCCACAAAATTTATGATTCAGGTTATGAGACTGGGATAACTCCATAAAAAATAAATCAAAATAAATTATAAAGTTTCATATTCAGTAAAATCAATATTGAATAATAAAATTAAAAAAAAATAAGTATGAAATAAAAAAAATCTTTAAAAATTTGAGGACCAAAATGCAAAAATAGGTTGGTTCTCACTGTTCATTGCTACAGTGAAAACTATATCCTTTAGCGTATAACAACTACTACTACTACTAGATTGTTGCATGTGTTATGTTGCGGGTTAGATCAAATTTTTTTTTTTTAATGTAGGTGTTGCTAACATGTTTTCTGATAAAAAAAATATTAAATTATTTAGGGTTTGACCCGATAAACTTGACAAGTCCTAAAATAACTTAAAAAAGTGTTAAAAACATAGTTTCAAAAAACAAATCGAAGAAAAATGTTTTTTTTTAATAATAAGATGAAAATATATTTGAATAACTTAGGATAACATGCCAAATTTGTGACTTGAATTATGAGATTAGAATAATTTCATAGAAAGCAAATCAAAACCAAATATGAAACCCAATTCTCAAATAAACTAATATCGAAAAATGTATTTTTTTAAATCAATTAAAAAAACCAAAAAATAAAAAAAAATCAAGTCAACTCAGGTTATCTTATCAAAATTGTAACCTCGGTCATTTGACTAGGATAACTCCATAGAAAGCAAATAAAAATAAATTATGAAGCTCAACTCCCAATCAATCAAGTGTTGAACGATGAAATAAAAAAAACATATTAATTAAAAAAAGATTACAAAAACTCAAGTAAATTCGGGTTAGCCAACCAAATCTATGATCCATGTAATGAGATCAAGAAAACCTCGTACAAAAAAAAAACCCTAAATTCAAATTAATCAAATCTTAAAGGTTGAAATTAAAAAAAAAACCAAAAAAGGAGAATAAAAACTTGAGTTAACGCATGACTCTAGATAAGCAATCTCAATGTTGAAAAATAAAATTAAAAAATAATAATCTGAATCAACTTGGGTTAACTCTCAAGACCCGTAACTCAGATAATAAGACCAGTATAACTTTACAGGAAAAAAAAATTATGAAAGCCTAGTTCTAAACCAAACAAATGTTGAAGGATGAAATTAAAAAAAAAATAAAAAATAACATTTTTGATTTAAGTTAACATATTAAACTCGTAACTTGGGTTATGAGATTAGGACAACTTCATAATAAATAAATAAATAAATAACTCAAGTCAACTTGGTTTAACTTCCTAACCTGTAATGAAGATTATAAACTGTGATAACTACATAGAAAGTAAATTAAAAAAATTATAAAACTTAATTTTTAATAAATCCATTATTGGAGGTTGAAATTAAAAAAAAAATCAATATAAAAACAGGACATAATAAAACGACCTCGGTCACACGGGTTAACCCGCAAAACACGTGACATGAGTTATAAAATCGGGATAACCTTGTAGATAGCAAACCAAAATAAATCATGAAATCTAATTTATAATTAACTCAGTATTGAAGAATGAAAATAAAAAATACCGATTAAAGGGGTGTGTTGAGAGTATGACAGTAGTTGTTTTTTAGAGTGTTTTTGGCTTGAAAATGTGTTAAATATTTTTTTATTTTAAAAAAATTATTTTTGATATCAGCACATCAAAATCATTTAAAAACACAAAAAATAATGGTTTGAAGCTAAAAAATAAAAAAAAATTATTTTTTTTAAAATAGCTTTTAAAATGCAAAAACAAACAGGCTAAAAAGAAAATAAATAAGTTAACTTATTAAACTCATGATTCGAGTAATGAGATTGAAATAACCTTATAAAAAATAAACTAAAATAAAACATAAAGCCCAATTTCTAATAAACTAAATGTTGAAGTATGAAATTAAAAAAAAAATATAGATTTAGAAAAAAAAACAAAGAAAAAAAACACTATTAAAATAAATAATAAAATCATCCTAGTGTATTGGATTGCATTTTGCCATAGGCTAGATCATTTTTTTTTTAAATGTAATAAAAAACATTAAGAGCATTAGAGTTTTCTTGGCAATGCTATTAAACCCAGGTAAACAAGAAATTTTTTTAACAGTTTTAAGATAATGATATATTAAATGATCTCAGTCATATATAACTTGATTTATGAAGTTAGTTTGGGTTTAATAAAAAACAATTTAAAACAATTCTTACTTAATTATATGATAAAAATCACATACTCACAATTTCAAGTATCAATCCTAAAATAAATATTTGTTTGAAATTATAATAACCCTAAAACAAAGCAGAAAAAACCATTTATGAAGTCTATTTCTCAACTAATTCAATATTAATAAATGAAAACGAGAAAAATAAATAAAATAGTTTTTCTAATTATTATTAATATTAAGTAAAAAGACCAAATTATCTCTAAAATGACTATTAAACCCATGAAGTCAGAAAGTGATTTTTTAAAAAAGAAAAAACCTTTAGACCCAAGTTAAGTGTTATTTTGTATTCATAAGCATTTTTGCAACAACTTTGCAAAAAAGAATAGAAAATACAACAATAACCTTGATCAATTAAAAGAATGGTTAATTCATAATAATTTAAATATAAAAAATCTATAAATTAACTATTTCAACCGATATGTGCTTGAATTTTTTAATTCTAAACTAACATTTCAAATTCACAACATATAAAATCAAAAATCCGGGTTCAATTAAGAGTTTCAATTATCAACCAATTTAATACTATTTTTTTCAAAAATACCTAATTAAAAAACTAACCAAAGCAAAAGAAAAAGAAAAAAAGAATGAGCATAAAATATAAAAAGAGAAGAAAATGAAGGGGTGAAATTAAAAAAAAAATTTAAATAAAAAAATTAAAAGAATGAAAATCAAACTTGTTTGAAAAAAATTAAAGGAGGATGCAATTGAAAACAAAATAAAATTTGAAAAATAAATTAAAATAAAACAAATAAAAATAAAAAAATGAGGGACAAAATCAAAAGAAAAATAATTTAAAGGGATGATATAAAAATGTGGAGGGCTAGACATGAATTTTTATGAGAAAAGAGAAAAAAAAATAGTAGTGCATGGAAAATCCAACAACTACATGCATCATACATGAAGATAAAAAAGATTAAGATAATTTGAATTACTTGGTATAATAATATTTTTGATCACTAGAGTAGCAACATATATCAACAACTTTTTATATTTTTTTTGAACACTACCATACTATTAGGACACAAGTATTATTATAAAAAAATCATTTTAAAATTACAAATTAACCCCTCAATTCAAGATTTTTAAATTTTGAATTTTAGAGTAATAAAATAATTGTACATAGTAAAAATATCAAATGTTAAAAAACCCTAAACCATGCTTAAATAATTATTTATTTTTAATAATAACAAAGTCATTTTAGTGCAAAAATAAAAATCAAAACACTCTTTAACAATTTAAAAATAACAACCGAACAAAAGGTAAAGATTATTTTACCCCTAAAAAGCCAGTTTATTAAGAGTGTTTTCAAGGATAAAACTTATAACTATATATTTTAATTTTTTTTATTAATATTAATAATAATAGTAGTAGTAATAAGTAGTTGTCGTAGGATGTAGCAGGAGCCCTCTTTTCTTTTGTATTGATGATGTCGAACAAGACATAGATAGCTAGCTTAGCTGGCTAATCTTATACCCTTTATGAAAACCAACAGCGTCAATCCTCCTACAGAAGTCTTTGAACGCGCAATGTACGTGCTGTCTGCCCGTCTCTCACCAACTTTCTATCTATAAAAGAAAAGAAAAGAAAAGAAAAGAAAACTATACTTATTATTGGTAATTGTGGGGGCGGAAAGGAAGAGGAGGGAATAGCGTGGACGTTCTGCCCCGCCATCATCTCTTTCTTCTTAATTTCTGGCCGAGAGAAACGGAGAAGAAGCAAGACATTATTGTTATTGCTATAACATAAAATCATACAAGCTTCAAGAAGAGAAATAGTTTAACACAGCAAGAAGGATAAAAGCCAAAGCTTTTATTAACTGATTGGTCTTCTTCCACTGTAAGTCTCTTTTTTTAGATCTGATTGAAATTTCCCAGATTTTGGATTTTGTTTTGTATTCTTATGGATGTGCTAGTGATGGGTTTTCTTTATTTTTTTGGGAATGTGATTTTTGGGAGCTTTGTGCTTGATTGTAAAATGGTTTTGTGTCATGTGGTTGGATGTGGGTTCTTGTAGATTTTTTTATTGGAATGATTTTGTTTTACTTTTGTTGTATCTGGGTGAAATGAAGAGAAAGAGATCTAAATTGGATTTTGCTGAAATGTGATAAATGTTGCCTTTTGTAGTAGAGAATCTGAACCATAGTTAGTTGGCATTGTGATGAGTATTCGGATCAGTTTCGATGGGCAGAAGAGCTCAGATGATTCATCTATGTGCAAAAATAGGACTTTGATTCTTAATCATCTCCTTTACTGATTGGTTATAAGAAAAAAGATCTGCTTTTTATGGATGCTGATTTTGATCTGTATTATGGTGTTTCTTAAGTGCTGATTGTCATTACTTGCTGTGGACTGATGATAAATTGGAATTGGATCTATCATTATGTATTATGTGCCATTGAATGAGTTTCCTATTTTCGTTCTGCCTTATGACTTGTATTAGTGTGTGATTGCTCATTCAATCAAAACATGAATCTACAGTCATTTCTGCACGCATAGCAATCACCTTTAATCCACATTCGTTTCCAATGCCAGTGGGCTTGTTTTTAGTAGAGCATACACAAGTTTATTGGTACATGGGCATTGTTGACCATCAATCTTTAACAAGTCATTGTTATAAATGAGCCTTTGTGATTCAGTTTGATATTTCAATGTTCTTGATGGAACATTGCCTGGACACTTCACTGCTTAAGCTCTTTGTTTCTGTTGAAGCACTTAGGCAGGGTATCCTTGAAAGGTCTGTTTTCCCTGGTAGCTTCACGATCTTTTCTTTTAGTGTCATTTAGTAACCATTGAGATGATCGACTGAAGTTGAAGATAAAACTTGTCGGAATTGTGGCATGTGTAGACTGTTCTTCTCAATTCTTTAGATATAGGATTGTGGATGCTTGCTCAGGGCTTCCAGCGAAATGAATTAGTTTATATTGCTTTGTATGGATGGTAAATCCAAATGGTGTTTGGGCTGGATACCTTTTTCCTGTATCATGGATTACTTGAGCATAGTTGCAAATAATCATCTTCTAAACTTCTTAGATGATTTCATTTGCTGCATTGTAATGTAGATGCTTTGTTGCTTAAGTGAGTTCTCAGCATAATGCGTATGAATGATGGAATGGCCGTAATTTCCATGCTTTGTTTCTTACAGGGATGCCAGAGTTAAATAGTTGATGAAAATAGATTATAGTTTTCGTAATCATGTGGAATTATGTGGTCTTTTGTGTGTGTATGTGAGAGAGAGTGAGGGAGATGGAGAAATAGAGGTGTTTGTCTGCACCCCTTGTTCTCCAAGCAAGATGTGGTTGTACCAAATTTAAAGCCACTCAAACATCGCAATAAACATTAGTAGCTGATGATAATTAACACTCAGAATAATTTCTTCTTGATATTTGCTGTTTGTTTTCAATGTATTTTTTGTTTCTATTTCACCAAATCAGGATTATTTCAGGTTGTTCTAGCAAGTTCAGAATATAAGATATGGTTCTTGATAGCATGATAACTTCTCCTCACCTGAGATCACCATCCTTCCGGAAGCAATTCCCACGGGATGATTTGGGTAGCTGGTCAACTCTCCTTCAGAGACACCGTTTCCTCTTAACGGCCTTGGTTCTCTTGGCTTTCTTATGCACAATCTATCTCTACTTTGCTGTTACTCTAGGGGCCACTGAATCATGTTCTGGATTTACCGGAACCAAAAAGGCATTATGTCATATGGAGCTGGCAAAGGATTCTGTAGGCCATGGAAAACTAAGTTTTTCTAGCACATAGATGACTCTCAATCAGTACTTGGTAGAGTTTTCTTTGTCTCTTATTTGAAAGGGATATGCTTGAGCTCCTAGTGATTGTTGTATACACGATATGTTGTACCAGGATTTGTCTTGAAAAATTTCAACCACATCCAATGATAATTCTTCATTGTTATTTATAATTTCCCAGGTGATTTCATATGACTACATTATGTTTTCTGATTCTTTTAGGTTTAGTTGAATGTCTGCTTCATAAGCTTGTTTGATGAATGAATGACTGAATGAATCCGTTATTCAATGAAAGAGAAGCAGGAGCCAATCCCCGCTACAAAGCCAAAGGTAAACAAGCCAGAAGAAATCTAGACTAGTTCCCAGTGATAACAGATGGCAAACAATTTTTTTCTTGATAGTTGCTTGACAAATTGTAGCTTTCCTCAATTTATGTTTGACGGTGAAAAGAATAGCTTCAGAAATGCTGTTAGCAAGAAAGAGACTGACAATTACCCCACGCAGGTAGCTTACATGGAGTTCCGAGTAAAATCAGCTTGAGACAAACCCAATCTCGTATTAGAAAAGAGAAACGTAGTGCTTCCTTTAGCCTCGGTCAACCTTTGATTGAGGGGCTTTTACTTCCCTGAAGGCCTTCTTTCGTTCGTGCACATCTCTATATGAGATTTCACAAACCACTTTTTGGCATTTAACTTTGCTAGTCGAATAGATCTAGTGTCGTTCCGCCATTTATAGGATGCACATCAATACAATAGGCCGTGTTAAGTTCAGGCTAAATCACTATTTTGAATTTTCATTTAGCAAGTGAAAGAAAGATAAGCGTTTTTAACGAGTGGTGGGTAAATCCCATCATGAACAGATAGGAACCGGACACTGAAGTGGAGCTAGTTGGTTTCAGAGTTAATACATCTACGGTTTTTTCAATACAATATTCCTGATCTCTAGCCGCCAGATTGCTGTTAATTGAGTATATGTGCAGAACTTCTAACCATACTTTTATTCCACAAAAATAGCTTTTTATTTCAGAGAAATTAGCTTGGTTACATGGCATAAAGTGGATCAACAGACCTAATTTGCTTATCTTTAAGGTATACCTGCTCTGTAATTACGTTGACGTTCAAAAAATTTGATATATAAGCTAGAAAATAAGAGTCCAGCTGCAGTTATGTGTTAACATACCATAAGATTTCAAAAAACTTGATATATAAGCTGGAAAATAAGAGTCCAGCCGCAGTTATGTGTTAACATACCATAAGATTTGAGACATTTTATTTTCCTGTTAATAATAGTCGAAAATAGTTGGACATAAAATGCAGGTCTAAGGTTACTTGACGAAAACGCATCCGATGAAGCTGAAGCCAAAACTTTGGTGGTTACAGTTCAGAACAGGGATCTGTCTTCTAGATTTAGCGAAATCCTCCTTTGCTACAGAAAACAGCATTTTTTTTTTATTTAATTAGTGACTTCATTTATTTCCTGACGGGGAACGATTAATACATGTAATTTGCCTTGTTTATTTAGTTTTTTTGTTTTAACATTTAGGATATCTCCGGGAGTTAATCTTTCCTTGATCGGATATCTGATATCCTAGTTAAGGACTCTTAATTCCACTGTAATTAAACATTATCCAGTTTAGAATCCGGCCAACCTATATATCACTATCCCAGGCTAGACATAAAAAAAGTCAATTTAGAGTTGGCCTGCAAGTCGATTACAATTTGATTGATTTTTTTTTTTTAATGATACTGCTTTGATTTTATAATTTTTTTATTGATCTGTTGAGTGACTTATGATTTATAATTACGCTTAATTCTATATAAGAGATCCTAGTAATAATAAACCGACTTAATTTAAGTAACTGAAAGAACTCGTATTAAATTAAGACACAATCCTTCTCACCTCAGGAAATCCGAAAAGTCTTCCAATTTTGAGAGGGAAACCAGAAGAAGAAACTAGGTTGCATTATGTACCTTATAAACTTCGGACTTTCCCTTCTGATGGTGGCTTTAAATTGACAACCTAAGCCATTGAAACAGCATAACTTAATTTGATTTTTCAATCTCAAAAACAGCAATGGCGTTAACGATGAAGAGCATTACACCAATACATGTGCGCGAAGTCTGGGCAGAGAACCTCGTAGCTGAGTTTTCTCTAATCAAGGAAGCAATCTCTAGCTTCTCCTTCGTTTCATTGGACACTGAATTCCCTGGTACTCTCTTTCTGTCAAATCTTGACAAGAGTTTGCTGTCTCAAGCCCCTCCTTCTCACAATTACCGTCTCATGAAGTGCAATGTTGATATCTTGAAAATAATTCAGCTTGGGATGACCCTGTCTGATTCACAAGGAAATCTTCCAAGTTTCGGAACAGAATTCCACTACGTTTGGCAGTTTAATTTCCGGGATTTCAACATCCAGCATGATCCTTACAACGACGAATCTATTGGGTTACTTGAACGCCAAGGTATTGATCTCAAGAAGAACAGAGAAAAGGGTCTCGATTCCTCAGATTTTGCATGGATGCTTTTGACTTCCGGACTCGTTTTCAACAACTTTTCAATAACTTGGATTACTTTTCATGGTGCTTATGATTTTGGGTTCTTGATCAAGATTTTAACTCGACGAGAGTTGCCATGTGATATGGCGTCTTTTCTGGGGATGGTTAGTTTCTTCTTTGGGGTTCGAGTTTATGATACAAAATTCATGATGGGATCTATCAGTGGTTTGCGCGGTGGATTGGAGAGGGTGGCTAAGTTACTGGGTGTAGAACGGACAACCGGAAGAAGGCACCAGGCAGGATCTGATAGCCTATTAACCCAGCAAACATTCGTGAGATTTAAGGATTCTTGCGCTAATCTTGATCTTGAAAACTTGAATGGCTGTGAGGGAATGATTTTTGGACTATGTGAAGGCTGGCTGGGATTCGATCGTAGACCTGAAGTATACAATTTTGAAACCTCTACCCGGTTGAAACCTCAGTTTAAGGAAGTGTTTTCAGTGTAATCTTTTTCCCCTCAAATTTGGTTGTAAAACCTTTTAATCCAAGTTTCTCGATTATTTGTTTTAATTTTTTCCATTAGCTATATTTTGATTTGTTTCGCATCAAGCAAAGTTTGTGTTGAGGTCAGATCTATTATCGCTGGTGGTGGACGGCTCGGGCTGGCTAAGAACCCATGCCCATATCAATATAAAAAAGAGGGAGAAACCTGATCCTATAACACAAAGTGGGAAAGTGAGAAACGCGATTTAAAGTTTTAAACAGTTCAGTGACCAGAACTGAACATTACTCTCTCTCTGCCATTAAACCAAAACTAAAAGGAAAATACAAAACTACAGACACTTAAGTTGCGAAGATGATGTGTTTTTCATAATAATCACACAACTGACTTGCCTTAGATATTGGGAGCTTTCTTTGCCTAAAATTGAAGGGGGTGAATTAGATTCTTTTCAAAGAATTTAATACCACCCACAAACTCTTTCTTATCTAAGTAAACAACACATAAACACAAGGCAATCTTAAAGCAATAATAAAGCAAAAGTAAAAATAATGAGGAGAGAGAGATTAAGCCCAAATTTTATAGTGGTTCGGCACTAAATATCCACTCTCTAAACGAAAAGTTTGGACTTGTACTATCATCCACGATCCACTTTACATGTGAGGCCGTATATTTTACAATCATATTTTTCTCAAAGGTTTAAGATTCAAACCTTAACAGAAACAATCTTTATCCCTGGCATCGAAACCTTTTTTTTTTTTTTTATGGACTAAAGATTGAAACCTACAAGATATTGCAACCTAAAAACCCTTTATATTGCAACCTAAAAACCCTTTTTATGTGCTCAAGATCGAAACCTAACTTTTTCAGTAGTACTATAGATGTGTGTTGTGTACTCTGCATGAGAGGGACGGCCATAATTTCCTATGGCAACCACCCTTCAGTTTTTAGCCTTCAAGAGAATTACTACCGTGGTATTATTTTCCTGTAAGAGATTTGTTTAGTGTAGTTAGGTTTTGGATAATATGTGTGCGCTTGATTAGTGGCTGATAATGGAGTTTTGTAGAATACGCACGCTTTTTTGAACCTTGTTAAATTTTCATGTCCCTTTTATTTTATATTTTTGCTTGATTTGCTTAGGTTCTAACACTACATTATGTTAGGTTGGTTGCCATTTCATGTAAGGCACCAACCATTGACCATTGACTATTGGTAGCCACCATTGTTGAATGAGCTAGAGTTGGTAGCCACCAATGTTGACAACAAACCAAGAAAAGCCTCTGTGAATGCCTATAATAGAGGCATATGTTAGAGAGCAAAATGAGAGAAAGAAAAGAGCCAAAGATGTGAGAAATGTAGGAGAGAGTGGGCTGCCATTGCAGCACTAAAAAGAGAGAAATAGAGTGAGGTTGAGAGTTATGAAAGAGGGGATGATTCCTCCTCCTCTATTGTTGTAAATCTTGTACTCTCCCTACATAATGCAATGGCTTCTCCCGTGGATGTAGGCGGTTTTGCCGAACCACATTAAATATTGTGTCAATGTGCTTGGCCTCCTATGAGCAAATATCAGTACATCACCGGTCGAAATTCCCAACACATTACTCTCTAAAATCCCTGAAAGTTAACGGTAATTTTTAATAATAAAAGATGTAGTCTAACTAGTTAAATTTTAAATTTATTTATTAAAAATTATTAATTTAAATTTTATAAATTTTAGAATTACTAGAAAATTTATATTATTATTAATTTTAAATTAATTAAGATATGCCCACGTTAATCTAAATATCCATATTAATAAAAAAAAACATGAAATTTCTGTTTTATTTTAATTTTTCGTTTTAATGAATTGGATATCATTAGGCAAGCTTTGACCGTACGTAGGATTTCTTAATTAGATAAAAGATATTTAAGCGGCGTTTAACTTTAAGATAGAAATCTCTGCATCTACAGGAAATCCCAATCATCTTCGGATTAAGCCTTCTGAAATTGACAACAGAAGCGATTGAAACTGCACTCATAACTCAATTAGATCATCCCATCTCAAAACAACAACAGCGTCAGCGATGAAGATCAGCAAACGAATACATGTTCGCGAAGTCTGGGAAGACAACCTCGTAGCTGAATTTTCTCTAACAAGGAAGCAATCTCTTGCTTCTCCTTCATTTCACTGGACACTGAATTCCCTGGTCCAGGTACTGTCTTTCTGCTAAATCTTGACAAGAGTTTGCTGTCTCAAGCCCTTCCTTCTCATATTTTTATATTATTAAAAAAATCTTTTATAAAATTATTATTTTGATATATTTTCAAACGAAAAATATTTTAAAAAATAATTTTTATTATATTACCGCACAGAAAATTAATATTTGATGTTTATAATGTCATATCAAACTTGAAGTAACAATGATGTCGTGGCTTAATATCTAAGACAATTAATTTTTTTTCCCCTTATCATTTTTTTTTCAGAGATAAATCTATACAATAAATTATTTTCCCTCTTACTTTGCTATTTAATTATTTGGCTTTTCTTGCTCTTACTTTGCTACTTAATCATTTAATTATCTATCATTCACTAAACACGCATACACTTTTATTAGTAATGGAGAGTTAAACATTTTCTATTGAAATCACTGTGTAATTTGATCTTGTGCTTCTATCTCTGCTCTGAGCTCGTGGTTTTTTCTGCTATCAACTACCATTGATGTTACTGCTAGCTGCTTTCGTCGTCTGCTAATTTGATGGTCTCTCTGCTGCTGATTCTGCTTTTACTATCTGGTCATAATGGTTAATTATTTTGGTTGCTTAATCTCAGTTGCTGCTGCTGGTGATGGTGGTTAGTCCATGCTCCTGCTGTATCTATGCTGATTCTGCTGCTCCATGTTGCACTCGCTATGCTCCCCACTCTGTTTTTGCTCACGCGGTATTCCTTACACCTTTATGTTCGCAGTCGCAGCCCTCGTTGATCATGATCAGTGTTGTCTTTGGTTTAAAATGAGTAACGAGTTTTTTTGGTATGTTATTAGATGGCTTAATCGTCTTGGAATTTAGTATGAAGACAAACTTTGTTGCTGTGTTTCCACAAAAGCTCAATTGATATTGCCTTAACCACAGACAAACAGTAAATCAAATCTAGAAACCATCAGCATCCCCAGCTATCAGAATTTAAGCCTAATTTATCTGCAGAGTCTCATCAGCATGTTCACACCAGAGGATTCGAGAGACTAAATACTTCTCAAATGAAATCTTTGCTAACTGATGATGACCTTGATACCTCCAGATAGAGACATGGCTCAAGCTTCCAATTGATCAAAGAAACTCTATTATAATCAACGCGAAGTATTTTTAATTTATTAAGTTCTTAACATGAAAGACTAAGAACATGTGCTAAAACACAGACCACAATACAAATATAAGTTTTTATTAAATCAGAAACGCTCCTAACAGTCTTAAAAACAAGAAAGAAACATATGATTTGTGATATATTTTCTTAATCCCTCACCACGTTTCAGAAGAAGTCGAAGGTTTGCAATCTAATGGTAGATCTATACTAATCTCAAAACTGCTGCAGGAAATCGACCTCGATGAATTATCCGCTTCAATTTGTTGAATATTGATACCGTTACGTGATAATAGAATCCCCTCCAATTCCATTGCAACTTCTCTCATTGTTGGTCGGTTTCTTCCATTCAAATTCAAACATCTCTTTGCAAGATTCGCTATAGCTATGGCTTCCTCTTCACTGCAATCCCCCTTAACTTGAGCATCAATGATATCAAAGAGTCTACTATCTTCCATCAATTCAATGAAATGTTCGGCTAAGCTCATGGTTTCCAGTGAATGGGTTAAGAAAATAGGTTTTTTCCCACTTAAGAGCTCGACGAGAACTACTCCAAAACTATAAACATCACTCTTTTCTGTTAATTGACTGGTTCGAAAATACTCTGGATCTAAGTAACCAAAAGTACCTTGGACCTTGGTGGTCAGATGAGTTTGATCAATGGAAACTGATCTTGAAGTTCCGAAATCCGAAACTTTTGCTGTATATTTCTCATCTAAGAGTATGTTTGTGGACTTAATGTCTCGGTGATAAATCGGGATAGATGCCGTCGAGTGAAGATAGGATATCGCACCTGCAGCTTCCGAGGCAATTCGTAACCGCAGCTCCCATGATAACGTAAAGTCCTCGTTTTGCTCATGGAGATATTGGAAAAGAGTTCCATTGGGAATGAATTCATAGACTAGCAGAGGAACATCAGTCTCCAGGCAACATCCAAGTAGCCTAACCACATTTCTGTGACTGATTTGTGAAAGAATGACAACCTCGTTGATGAATTCTTCTAGTTTATCTTCATCCATTATCTTAGACTTCTTAACTGCAACGATAGTCCCATCAGCTAACATTCCCTTGTAAACGGTGCCTTGGCCGCCATGACCAAGTATTCTGCTCTCATTAAAATAATCGGTTGCCTTTTCCAACTCATTTGAACTGAATATTTTTGTCTTTTGAACACTACCATCACTTGAGGATAATTGCTGCTGCAATAATAGACCACCATTCCGTTTGAAAAACTTCTTCTTCAACCGAATGCAATTGTATATCCACCGAGCACCAGTGAGCAGGAAGAGTACTCCAACCAGACCTATAACTGTATAGGGAGCAAAAAAAACATCACTTTAGGTTTTCATTCCGCTGGAAAATAAAAATTACCACATGAATTTTGGTTCTCTTAATTAAAATTTCTCCGAAACTATTTTTTTCGGAATTAATTTCAAAAGGGTAATGTCCATATAGCTTATGTTTTCCCATTGTTAACCTTGAATTCCACGTGTACAAAGCTAAGTGGACAAGGAATCACAAGGAACCTTAACTTGATAGTGTGGGGGTTGAAATGTCCAAAACTAAGGTACATGTGTTGATTTAACCAAGTTCGAAAACTTGAGGGACTGGGCCCGACCACTTAATTGAATTTTCTAGCTAATTTACTGTATGGTTATTTTGGTAATTAGCGTGTACATGGTGAGGCTGGTTAATTTTAACGGCACGTTCAGTGTTTTCAAGGATTTACCAAAATATGTAATTATAATGGCACGTTTAGTTGATTTCAAGGCTGGTTAATTATAATGACACCCAACAACACAATTTTAGTTATTCGATTGTTTATGTATTTAGTGCTCTAACTATAAAATAATAAGTTATTTAGTACTCTAACTATATTATTTTTTATATTGTAGTACTTGTTATAATTATATGTGTTTAAACAAGAATATTAACGTATTTCATAACCATAAAATATTTAACTTAAATTTTGTATAATTTTACAGAATTTGTTTTTTTCTTAACTTGGTATCAATTTTAAAGGAAAAAAACTATATAATATAGTTTTATTTTTTTAATGCATATTGAATTTAAAAAAACAATACTAATTAATCAAATAATAAATAAGTGAACTCGTATATCATTATAAACTTTTTAATAACTTAAAAAATCTTTGTTATGAGTTAAGATATATGTTTTTTGATATTTTATTTTTACATCTTTCTGAAAAATATTTAAGATGCATCATAAAATAATTTAAACTTATGATATGAATTTTCTACTGGATTAAGAAAAACTTTTATAATAAACTCATGTCAAGAAATAATGATTTAGTTGAAAAAAAATTTCTCATATTTTCAACATGGTATCAATATTTTTTTTTATCTTTCTATTTTTTTTGGATAATCATCAATATTTTTTTTTATTTTTCTATTTGTATCTGTATATGTGTCAATATGTGTTCTTATTTTTTTTTTAAATATATCAAAATTTAATTGATCAAAACTTAAAATATATTGACAAATAAGCAATTCATAGTATATTATAGCTATAACACTACTTTAAATTGTATTTATTTTAGAATTTGATGAGAATATAAAATTTAAATTAATAATACATAAACAATAAGAGAGATTATTTTCACAAGAGACAAAAATGCAGATTTATTATGTAGAATTAATCATTTGACCATCTTTACTAGATAAGGAAAATGAATAATCATCATATGAGAGTCAGAATAACATTTCATAAAAATTATAGGGATGAAAATGAACATTAATTTCAGGTATTTATTTGGGGCAGGGATGTGATAGGCATTAAATTAAATAGGTCAAAAGGAATAAATCAGAAACCTGCGTACCTATGATAATTATATAAATTTTATTTATAACGCATCTATACCCTCCACGTGTATTCAAGCATTTAAGCATCCCTTGACACGTATTTTTCTCCGGGGTCTTGCATTCATCAACATCTAATAAAATAAGAAAGCGAAAATCAACAAATATTTATATGGGATTTGTTATAGAACTCAAAAGTAATTAATTCAAACTAGAGTAAATCTATTTTTCTTTTTTACAAATCAACATACCAAAATTTACAAATCAACATACCAAAATTGAAGCACTAAATTACTTCCTAATTCTAAGCTAACTGTGCATTTACCATCATTATCCGACACTTAACATCGTTTAACTTTGATTACAAAACATAGAAGAAATTAAATTAAAATAATCGCTCGAATAAAAATAATAAAATAAACCCAAGAAAAAAAAGTTAGGATAATAAAAGTAGCAATGTTTTCTTTTTCAGAGAGGAATTTTTACCCGTACAACCACGTTCAAGGTAAGGGTTGCCCTCCAATCCATCCTCGCACACGCATTCGGATTTTGAGGATTGATTGTAACTTTCTTCGCAATGCGTGGAAATTCCATTATCATTCAAGTTCATCATCCAACCCAAGTCCATTGGAACATAATCTCTATACTGCATTGCGAAGGGATCGCTTATATTCGATTCAAACCATGTCGGATTCACCAGGAAGGCTAGCTTGCATCCTTCTCCAACTTGATTAGCGTTAGTAGAAACCAAGCGCGGATTAAAAACCTGAAGGAGTGAAGGGATTCTAGCCTGACTACAATTTTGAACTGAACACATTTTATTTTCTTGCAATCTAACGTTACTTTGCAGGTTACCCCATGTAGACTCGCCAATGACGAGATCTGGCTCAGTTCCGGTCATAAAAGCTTGAGTATCACAACCCACTGCAACGAACCAGTTCCTTTTAGAGGAGAAAACAAAGGGAGTTCCAGTGAGATTCAGAGGCACACCATCTACCCGGCCAATACAATTGAAGGATATTACTGGACTTTTGACAGTAGCGGTGGCTGTCTCAACTGAAATATTCAGCACCTCCATTTTAATTCGACTTATAAAAGCTCTAGGAGGGTTGGCAGTATCATTGCACTCAATCGCGAACCGTTCATCCATGTAGCATTCTTTTCTAGTTCCAAAGGGGTAAGGAATGCTAATGGCTCCGCATCGATCTGGACAACCAAACTTTGCTACGGGTGTTGCTGCTTTTGCTAACTGAAACATTAACATCAGCAAAGTCATTTTAACCACCAATTTCGAAACCATTTTCTCCATTCTTGTGGGTTTTTTTTCCAGATATAATTTGATTTCAAGTTCATTTATCCACATTTAAAGAGGAAGGGAAATATTGAAGACATTTCTTTGCATTTTCTTGGTCTACTAGTAACTAACACGAACAAAGAATCACCAGTCTGAATTAGCAGACTTTTGTATTGATAAGAAAAATCTCAGTTTCTTCTAAGCCACGTTAAGTTGCATTCTAATGAGTTTAAAACTTCGAAGCCAGTAAAATAATCTGTTTTTTCTAAACCCAAAGGGCGTGTTTCATAGATATTAAACACGATACGGCATGTTGACCAGATGACCTGCGTGATTTTAAACACAGATTTCAATTTAGCTAGTTATGAATATGAGGAAATTCCATGCTATTTCAAACATGTGGTCAACTTGGTTTTCCATGAAGCGATCGCTTAGCTTACTTTTTCAAATGAAAAAGCAATGCTAATGTTTCCATAAATTTCTGTACAATTAGCAGGCCTTGCAATATGTGCTAATACAGTTGCTATTTCAAGCAACAGAATAGCGGGGGGAAAATTAGACACAATGTGTATCAGGAATCATGCTTTCCTGATCTTCCATTGCAGATATATTTAGATGCTAAGAGTTTGAGCTTAATATTGGAAGTAGAGAATGAGAGAGAGCGGTATGATCTTTATTCCATTCCACTAGCTAGGATTAACTATATTTTCAGTAAAAAAACACTAACTGTGACAAAGAAGACTAATAATCTGTGCTGATACCCATTTCAAAGCCTCACAAAAAAATAAAAAATAAAAGGACAAATACAAAATAAATTGAAATTTTTTTGAAGAAAATAAAAAATATATTAGTGAGAAGAATTTATCATAGGGCCATAACATTATCAAAAATTGGTTGAGATTGAAAAATTTGACATCATATTTTTGACAAATGAAAACCTTATTGGCAATTAAAACTGGTTTAGACTAATTTCGATCCATTTCTTTATATTAAACACTTTGTTGGACTTGATTAGTTAATAATATAAAGTTTATTTGCATCAATAACAAGTTTTTTTTAATTATAATTTTAATGTTTCAGTTTTGAATTGAAACTTATTCTGATTTATCGCAATTGTTGGTTGATAATCATTAATGTTTAATACTTAATTATCATTCAATAATTGATTTCAATCCTTTATGTGCCTTTTATTTCATGAAATTTGATCTGGATTAGAATTCATGTTATTGAAATTAGTTTGAATGTTTTTGGTATTCTTCGTGTACTTCGTTTTTTCTGATTTTAATAAAGAGTTTTTTTTTTGAGTTTTTGTGTTTTTTTTTTAGTTTGATTTGTTTTAGATTTGGTTTTATTTTTGGGTTGTTTTTGGATTAAACTAAAGTTTTTTGTTTGTTTCATGATCGAATCAAAGATTTTAAGTCAATTTAGTCGGGTCAAAGTAATAAAGCTTTGTTTAGTTTGCAATCTTTTTGGTAAAGGGATTTTTTTTTGTCTAAAGGTGTGTTTGGATCGGAAAACACTCTTAGACCTGTTTTGACAATTTTATCACAAAGAAAAAAATGAGTTTTTACCAAACAAAGCCTAAAGCCTATATACGTTGAAAAAAATCCTTAAAATTATTTGAACATTAAAAAAAAAAGATCTAAAATATTTTGGCATGTTTTTTTTTTTAAAAAAAAGTTGTATGGATTTTACAACAAGTTTATAAAATTCCAAAAGATTTTAGCCTATATTTCAAAAATATAAATTTTTTTTTGATAAGAAAATATATTATTTACTTTTAATATAAAGATAAAAAACCTATAAAAGTATTAATATCCAAAATATTATTAGGAATAATAATTTTTTATGGTTCACCTTTAATTTAAGCATAAAAAACCTGTATAAGATTAATATTCAAAATATTATTAAGAGCAACACAACTCATTTACTTATAATATAAAAATAAAAAATTATTTGAAATATTATTTGAATGAACGATAGAAAAAATTTTCAAATTTATTATGAAAAAAATTTCAATAATAATTAAGGAAATCTTACCGTTTTAGACCAAATTCTTGGTTTGGTAAACCAAATTTTTTAATCATAACAAATTTGTCATAGTAGATTAATAAAAATAAAAATATCATCACATCATAGTTAAAACAAAATATATTTTATCTTAGCTAAGGTATTAATTTTTTTTTATACAACCAATCTCTTATTTAAAATTAAAAATTATAATACTAAATGATAATTTTTTATCAAACCAAAAACCATTCTAGAAAACCATCCTTAAAGGGTTGTCGAGACTTCAAGCCCCCGCTTGCTAGGAGGGCACAAGAAACTGAATGCACAAATCATTTTACGAAAATTCAACGAGAAATTCTATATAAGGTGGTCTTTTGCAGCCATGGCCTCGTATTTTTGTAGTCCGAGTATTTGTAAAATTAAGATTTATGGATGTTTCTTCCCACCTCGTTGCTTGACCAGCTATAAATTCAACAAGACTAAAACAAATGTTTCAGTTATTATGAAAATATGTTCCGTACCTCGTATGAAAAGGAACATGTTTTGCGAAAGCAAAATTTATGACCAGGTCAATTCTTAAAAAGATATAGACATTTTGGAGGTTTTCTGAACAATAATTCCTCTAAGCAAGAATCAAGTGTACTTTTCTTGAACACTTCCACCCCGTGCAAGAACAACATCGTAGTCTTTTCTTGAACACCTTCGTCTACGCATCCAATGTACGGCTTTCCCAAGCAGCCATCGCGGCAAGATGATTCATACGCTAAAGTCACAGAGTGCAAGTAGGAAATATTTACATTTCATACTTCCAAATCCTGCACGTAATCCATCGACGAAGCCAACACCACAAGCACATGTTCCCGACACTGAAACACCTGCGGATTGTTCATGTCGGGGAAAGTACGGTAGAAAGTCTTCAATTTCCTGTAAAAAGGATTATTATACAAGTATAGGTTGCTTTTAATGAATGAAAATAAGAACAAAAAAAAACACCAATGATTATTCTAATTTAAGCACATAGGTTGATTCGTAACAAAATTTTAATGATTTTTCTTATATGAATCTTGAAACACATGTTGCTTAATGGATGGATATAGGAGAAGATCTCCCAGAAAAATGTTTCTGGTAGATTAATAGAACACTCGAATTGCTTTTAATTTCAAGTATAAGTGTTGATTTGACTAACCTTAAAGTACAGGGCTTCAGTCCACAATTTGCACAAAATAAAGAAATCAAACATAACTTTTAGGTTAAACTAGTAAAGTTTCTTTAGGATTTAAAGTTATTTGAGAATTATCCCTTGCATTCTTATTTTAATTTGAACTCCTTATATTTCGGTAAATTTGGGATTAAGTCCTTTTTTCCTTTTTTCAGTATTTGTTCTTTCTGTTTTTTTTTTTTTAAATTTTGCATTTAAAACTAATTAATAAACTGACTTAAATATCATTAACTTATATAATCTTCAACCTAATTGATTATTTTTATTTTTTATAGAATTAGTTTCAAATCTTAAAAATAAAATAAATAACTTTAAATTAAAATTTATCATTTAAGTTCTACATCCAAAATTTTTGGTTTTAAATTTAAATAAAACTAGTAGCCAAAAAATCCTTTTTTCTTCATCTGAAAGAAAAAAAGAAAAAAAAAAAGCCTATAGCCTTAAAAAATTTTTTTTAAAAATTTAAACAAGAATTATAGATGAAGAATTAATTAAAGTTATGTTATTAAATTTTATTTTTAAAATTTAATGTCTACAGAAAGAGTTCTAAATTAATTAGTTAGGTTAAGAGTTATTTATCTTAAAAATTGTTAAGTTATTTCATTAATTTTATTATAGCACACCTGTTATAATAGATTGATAAAAATAGAAATATCATCACATTATAACAAAAAAAATTAATGTACTTTATCTCAATTAAAATATATTAGATGTGTTAATACTTTTTGTTCCATAATAAATCTTTATTTAGAATATTTGAAAAACCAATTAGAATTTTTAATAATTATAATAATAAATAATAACTCTTTATTAAACCAACGACCATTCCAAAATACTGTTTAAAAAAGATCGCTGCGACGTGCAGCCAGAGCGCACAACAAACTGAGTGTCCAAATTATAGTACTAAAATTCAACGAGAAATTCCATATAAGGTTGCCTTTTGCAGCCATGGCCTCGTATTTTCGTAATTCAAGTATTTGTAAAATTAAGATTTATGGATGTTTCTTCCCACCTCGTAGCTTGACCAGCTATAAATTCCACAAGACTAAAACAAATGTTTCGGTCATTATGAAAATATGTTCCGTACCTCGTCTGAAAAGGAACACGTTTTGCGAAAGCAAAAGTTATGACCAGGTCAATTCTTAAAAAGATATAGACATTTTGGAGGTTTTCTGAACAATAATTCCTCTAAGCAAGAATCAAGTGTACTTTGCTAGAACACTTTCACCCCGTGCAAGAACGACATCGCAGTCTTTTCTTGAACACTTTCACATACGCATCCAAGGTAGGGCTTTCCCACGCAGCCATCGCAGCAAGATGATTCATATGCTAAAGTCACAGGGTGCAAGGAGGAAATATTTACATTTTAAAAAAAAAAACTAGTCGTCTAGAAATCCTTTTTTTCTGTCCCAAAAAAAAACCCATAGCCTTAAAATCTTTTGTTTTAAAAAAAAATTAAAATTTTTTTATAGGACAATTAAAGTTATGTTATTAAATTTTATTTTTAAAATTTAATATCTATATAAAGAAATTTAAATTAACTACTTACGTAATTAAGTTAGTTATTTGGTATTATAAAAAAAGTTATTTCATTAGTTTTATATATAAGACATCCCGGAAATCTTTCGAAAATAGTATTATATGGATTTTATTTAAAATGCATTAAAATATATAGACTTCAAAATTAAATGAGAGTAAAGGAACTAATTGTCGAATGATTTTAAGTTGATGAAATGTTTGAACGATTTAGCCCAAGTCTTAGCAAAATGAGATTATCCAAATATTACGTTTCTCTATTAATAATTAAACAAGAAACGTAAACAGAAAGGCAAGGTATGCGATGAAGTGCACTTGTAAAATCCTAATGAAGTGCAGAACGAAGGAAAACCAGCAGACCCCACAACCAAAGCTCCTGAATACAGCCACTCTATCGAAGAAATTGAAATGCTAGCTTGGAACGACCATGGAGATGTTGGCATACTTGCAAAGTTTAAATATTGTAGAACATCATATCTTGACGAGAAACTTTTATGTAACAGTGAGGACAAATTGATAGTAAGCAAAACACAGAGCACACAACCACAAACAAACGGCCTTATGAAAAACAGGCTCAGGCCACAAGCTAAAGAAACATTAGACTAACAATAGTTTCCTGGAAACGAAAAACACGCCTGAACAGAAACAAAAGCCACACCCGCTTGGGACCAAGGAGGGAGGAGGGGAAGTGTAATTGGCAAGCCAGAATAAATCGGCCGTGCGTGGATAGCCTGACACAGTGATCATCCAAAGCGACCCTGTTAGGTTGCAGGACTACAAAAGCATAGGAAAAGCTACAACCGAGCAATAAGATCATCTTGCCTGGCAATCCCAAGCCTTGACATACTTCTTGTTCATAAAGTATTGTAAGTAATCAATGGTTCGGCATCTGTTGATTGAACTGATCTAGCATTGTCAAAGTCACAGGTAGCTGAGATAGGAACTGCATCCCAGTTGCAGAGACGTTCTACCATGGCGTTCTCACTAGTCTCTTCTTCCTTTCGTTGAACAATTGACTTTCTCTGCAGCAACCCAATCCTCTCCAACTCGGCTGAGACCTCTTTCATTGTTGGTCGATGTTTTCGGCTCACATTCAAGCATCTCTTTGCAAGATTTGCTACAGCCATTATTTCCTCCTCAAGACAATCCTCCTTAACTAGGACATCAAGAATATCGAAGAGCCTGTTCTCTTCCATCAGAACGAGAAAATGTGTGGCCAAACTTCTCGTTTCTTGTGAAGTTGATGATAGAATTGGTTTTTTCCCACTTAAGAGCTCGACGAGGACTACACCGAAGCTATAAACATCACTCTTGTCCGTAAATTGACTAGATTGGTAGTATTCCGGGTCTAAATAACCAAAAGTGCCTTGCACGTTAGTGGTCATATGAGTTTGATCAATAGCCATTGATCTTGAAGATCCAAAATCTGAAACCTTTGCTCTATATTTGTCATCCAAGAGTATATTTGCAGACTTAATGTCACGGTGAAAAATTGGAATGGATGCTGCCGAATGTAAATAGGAAAGTGCTCCAGCAACTTCAATGGCAATCTGTAATCGCATTTCCCATGACAATATGAAGTCCTCATTCTGGTAAAAATTATGCAGATACTGGAAAAGATTTCCATTGGAAATGAATTCATAGACTAGGAGAGGAACTTCAGTCTCCAAGCAACATCCGAATAACTTAACCACATTCCTATGATTAATTTGTGAAAGAATGACAACCTCATTGACAAACTCCTCGAGCTTTTCTTCACCCACTATTGTGGACCTTTTAACAGCAACGATTCTTCCATCTTCTAACATCCCCTTGTAAACCGTGCCTTGTCCACCTTGACCAAGTATTCTATTTTCATTAAAACGATCAGTAGCTCTCTCCAACTCTTTTGAAGTAAATATCTTTGTTTTCTGAACACTGCCATTATTTGAGGATAACTGCTGCTGTAACAATAAACCACCATTTCGTTTGAAGAATTTCCTTTTAAGTTCTATGTTTTTTCTTTTCCTTGCTAGTTTGTATAACCACAATATGCCAGCAAGCAATGAAAATATTCCAGCGATAGCAGCAACAACTGCATTATTAACAACAAGGAAAATGTAAGATCAATGCCAGCAAGCAATGACAATTTTCCAGCGATAGCAGCAACAACTGCATTATTAACAACAAGGAAAATGTAATATCAATGCCAGCAAGCAATGACAATTTTCCAGCGATAGCAACAACAACTGCATTATTAACAAGGAGAATGTAAGATCAAAATCAAATCTGCCAACAGAAATCCATAGATGAGGTCAATAGTGACATAATGAACCATGCACAAAATTAGAAATCTTACACAGTATCAAATCTTGGCTGTCAATTTCGAAGTTCGAGGGGCAAAGTAAATACAAATTTCAAAGCAAAATCAAATTGTAGCAGCTAAAAAAAGAACAGGGTAGAGAGAAACTTACGTATTGGGACGATCCAATACTTATTGACCTCGCATTTGTATGATCCCAGTGTATTCACACATTTTGTTATCCCCAAGCACGAATGCCGATTTGGGTCTTTGCATTCATTAATATCTAAGGAAGAAATGCCAAAATCAAGAAATGAAGCCATAGATTTAATGAGTAGCGACAACTTTTTTTTTTAAAAAGGAAAATATATGCACACCAGCATAAAGAATGTGTTATATGAAGCCACTAGAGTACTCTAAATTAACCTTTGCCATTAAAAAAAAAAGGTAAACAAAAATTGTTCTTTTAGGAATCAAATTCACTTTTGGTACGGCCGCTCTTGTTGATACAAACATTTGAAAAGGATATCGGGGAAGGCCTGTTGATGACCTTGAAACAAGATTTCCTAATGCCAAAAGCAATTTTGAATCAAGACAAAGAAAAGGAAACAAGAAATTTTTATATGCGGTGAAATGATTAAAAAAAAAAAACAGAAAGGATGGAATGACTGATGTGATTAGTCATCTTTCTAGCAAAGTTACCTGCGCACCCAAGGTAAGGGTTGCCTTCATAGCCGTTACTGCAAGAACATTCATATCCTGAAACGTTACTCACAGATAACTCATAAAGGAAGTACTTGCAAACCATGGTACTGTTATCATATCTCCAAATGCTGTAATCCATCATCCAGGCAAGCACCAGTGGAACAGATCTCCAACTCTGTAGCGCTTGCGGATTGGTCATATTGAGAAACGAAAATTTGTTTTGGTCTGTTAGGAAAGCTAACTTGCATCCACTGCTGTCTTCACTCCTATTTTTTGTATCCAAACTTGGCTGAAAAACCTGCATCCGGTAAGGTGCACTTGCCACACAGCAGTTTCCATCAGCACATAGACTGTTAATTTCTTGCCCGTAAAGAAGAGTTTTCTGATTATAGTCAGCACTGCAAGTCGAGTCGCACCCGACAACTAGGGGGCCTATCCCTGTCAACAACGCGCGGACGTTGCAACCCACTGCAGTGAACACATTACCAAAGGAGAAAAAGAAGGGACTTCCCGTCAAATTCAGAGCAGGTAGATTGGATTGCCTGTCGGAACAATTGGAGGACATTATTGGACCGTTGACAATTGCTGCACCATCTGTAATATTCAGAACCTCCATATTGATCATGCTAATAAAAGCTCTTGGAGCTGACTCATTGGCAGCTTCCCTGCATACAATCTTGAACATTTCATTTGCATAGCAATCTTGTGCAGTTCCAAAGGGGTAAGGAATGCTGATGTTTCCACAACGGTTTTGACATCCAGGCTTTGTCATGGGTGCTGCAGCTGTTGCTGACTGAAATAATATTGGCAATAGTAAGAGGCTGATTCGAAATATGGATCTCATTTTCATTTTTCTTTTGGGGTTTTGAGCTAACTAAACCCAATCAAGTTGGTATATATCAGCCCTTGAACAGAGTTAAAATGTGGTTCAAAGATATTTCTAAACATTTTCTAGCTACCAAGTCAATCTAGCATCAAAGAAATGGAGATGCAATTGCATAGGTTGGACTTTTTTTTTTATATTAAAAAAAAAATCAAAGAAGGGATCAGTGATAGCTCAGTGCAAATGGTAAAAAAATAAAATAAAAATGATGCTGTAATATTCTCTTTCCCGGTGCTAGTTATTATGACGTTGTGAGAGTGATCGGAGGATCAAGGAAAGGGCAAGAAAACCTCAATCTACCAGATTTTACAAGTCAACTAAGAAACCTTATAATATATTTGATTTGCTATGCTAAGATAATCCTGAAAGAAAACATAAATCTACAAGATTCTCATGGAGCAGATAGTCAATGAACAAACTCATGATGTGAAGGGTGACCATTCTAAAATCAATCAGCATCCTGTGGATTGACGAAGCCAACAGTATACTTGGCATCGCGACACGCAGCTTCAGACTTTTCTTCTCTTGGAGAATGGAGACATCCCGCTAATTTCTTTAAAACCAAGAGTCTTCGGCAGGTGGAGCACCGTGTCTAACTTGCATATTATTATTATTATTTGATAATAAAGGTCTTTTTTCAACGAGTTTGTACGTCAATTAAATTATTTTTTTTTAGATGATGTCAAGAATATATCCTTGAATTAATTTGATATGTTTTAAAGAACTTAATAATCCATTCTTAAAATATTAATTCTAAGATTTGAACTCAAAAAATTAAAGAAAGTAGAATAATAAAGTAATTAGGTTGAGATCAATAGACGACTAGCTAATTTGTAAGCTTGCTGAAAGATACAAAATTGAAGTCTTGGTTTCAACATTGGATTTAATCTTGATGTATGAAAACGATTTGAACAAAAATCTTAAGCCCTTTGGGCTCTTGAAAGCTATACATGCTTTTACTTTTCTCCAAGCTCGGAAAGAAACAGATTTCTGAAAGATATAAAGTATTATTATGTAATACATTGTCTGGCCCATTATGTATTGTTTTTTAAATCCGCAGATCCATATTATATGCTTTGATGATTTTTTCTCCGTTCTCTTGATAACTGTGATTACTTTTATCTTAATTTTTAGCAAATAACTATAACGACCTGACCGACCTCGCCATAACGCAGTGTCTAACAAGTGACCAAGAACACCTTTTTTATCATTGTTTTAAAGCCGAGACCAGCAGGTCAATCCAGGCCTGGACCGATTAGGTTTGACAAAAAAGAAAAGAAAAAGATAAAAAAATGTTTGTTGATATTACGAGAAGAGAAGACAAAGTAAATAAAATACATTTTGATCTATATCTCTCATTTAAAAGTGTCTTGCATACGAGTGGTCTAGATGAGTTTGATCATCGATCTTAAGGTCCCAAAATCTGATAATTTTGATCTATATCTCTCATCTAACAACTTAATATCATAGGTAATAAATAAGAATAAATACATAGGAATGGTGATAAGAAGGTGCTCCGGCAACTTCAGTACCAGTCCTTGATTGCATTTCCCGTGAAAATCCAAACTCCTCATTTAGCTCTTGGATATACACAGAGATTTACATTATGAAAGAATTCATAGACTAATTGAGGAATTTGAGTCTCTAAACAACAACCTAGTTGGTAATGTATATGATCTATAGTCAATTAATTGGTGATGCATATTTAATTTTTAATAAAAAAATATTTATTTTTATTATTTATTTGATTAATAAATTTAACATTTGATAAATGAAAATATAATAAAAATAAAGTTTTTGAATAAAAATATTTTGCAAAGAAAATTATCTAATTATTATAATTATAAAATTTTTATTGCATCAAAGTATTATTTTTAAATGTTATTGACTAATGCTCTATTGTAGATTGAATATTAATTAAAATTGTTAAAACTTATATATATTATCAATTATTCTTATAAGTTGAAAAGCTAAAGCAAGGGGAATATCTAGAATTATTTATTAAAAATTAAAATAAAATAATTAATATGCATTACTTGATATTTCAAAGTGTTATTTATTATGAATTTATGAGAGTGATTGGGGAACTAAGGAAGGGGCAAGAAAACTAAAATAAATCAAATCTACAAAATTTTATAAGTCAACTAAGAATTCTTGATACACTTGATTTGCTATGCTTAGCTAGATAATCATGAAAGAATCCATCAAATCACATCTCTTATCAAAATTAAAAAACAAAAAAAATAAAGCCCTGCTTATTTGCTAGCAAAAAATTTCTTTTTAAAAAATAAATTTTGAAAAAGTGAATTTTAAGAAAATAACTTATTAATGTTTTATTTTTCTCAAGTTTATTAAAATAATGAGGAACAAATCTTGTAAATAAAAAAGTTGAATGAGAATAAATTAAAAAAAATATAATTTCATAATTTATCTTAAATAAAATAAATAATAATCAAAATAATAGAGATCAAATCTAAAATCTAAAAAAATAAAAGAAGAAGAAATTAAAATAATAATAATTAATATTTCATAAATTATTTCAAATAAAATAGGTAACAATCAAAAGAACGAAGATCAAATTTGATAGATAAAAAAGTTTAATAAAAAAAAAATAAAAAACAAATAATAATTATAAAAATAAGGACTAAAATAAATATAAAAATTAAACTTTAAGATATAAAATTAAAAAATAAATATCTAAAATAAAATATATATAATAATAAAAAATTAAAAAATTAAATTTAATATAATTAATAAATAATATAATATTTTTAAATCTTTTACAGTTTTTAGAAAAATATTCTCCATTCAAGAGATATTAGGCTGTCGATTATTATGAAGCAGATAGTCAATGAAAAAACTCATGATCTACTGCGACAAAAGGTTTATGAAGGCAGAGAAGTAATGGCAATATTCAGGTAAAGGTCAGAAATCAAGTAGTCGCTATTTTATTATATAGGATTTATCAAGCAATTATTTTGAAATGACAATGTTCATGACGTTCTTGTCATATTCATTTACTCGTTTATGGCAACGAAGGCATTTCAGCTCTGGAAACAGCAGCAAGCTGGTCGACTGCCCAAGAATCCAGCACAGCCACCTCCCATGTATCCTTTCGCAACGCAGGACTTATAGCAGTTTGGGAACAGTGGACATGGACCTAGGCAGGGTACTACAGGTCCGAGTGCTGATACTTGCTCTGTCACTGAACCATTAAATCTTTGATTATAAGGCTCAAGATGAAAGGAAGAAAAAACAATCCTATATATATATGTGTGTGTGATTAACCTATTTAAGATCTTAAAATTGATAAATTTAATTTTGGTAAAAAAATTAGTTTAAAGATATTCTTACTAGCAAACAAAGTGAAACTGAAAAAATTGTTTTGAGATGGAAAATGAATTTGAGAGAATCTTACATGATGTCAGCAGCAAAATAACGAAGAAAATCCCCATGGAGTTTTGAATAAAAGGGGAAGCTTCGTCAGGAGACATGACTGAAGATGTGTTTTCTCTGTACTTCGATGAATTTCGAAGTTCTCAACTATTTCCGTCTTTTTCTTGTTTTGTTTTCTTTTTCTTCGATGTTTAGTGGAATCTTTGTATTTAGTTGAATACCAAAGATTAAGTTGCTAAATATGTCTGGTCAAATCAAATCCAATACGAATGAAGTTTTTGAACAGTCAATCCTTATCCAAATCCTAAGAGATTTTTTTTCCCAAAACAAGGTATTTTAAAACCTTTTTTTAAAAAAAAAATAGTTTTAATATTATTTATCGAATTAAAATTAATTTTCCCATGTAAGACTATATTTCCCATGTCATTTGTTATTCAATACAACATTAATATATCAGATTCATGGGCTAATTAAAGAAAAAAAAAGAGGAGCAATTAGTAAGAGAAATTCACAGCGTGTTGTGTCAGATTTGAAAGTTTTTTAAAACCTGCACTAGTTTTGACTGCAATAAAAGTTATTCTCATAGCTTGTGGATGTAAAGCATAGCCAAACCATTGTGTTATAATGGTCAATTATTTTGGTTGCTTAACCTCTGCTATTGCTGCTGGTGACGGTGGTTAGTCCACGCTCCTGCTTCTATGCTGATTCTGCTGCGCCATGTTGCCTTCGCCCTGCACCCGTCTCTCCCTTTTGCTTTCCCTGTATTCCTTGCAACTTTATGTTGGTAGTCGCTACCCTGGTTGATCATGATCAGTGTTGTCTCTGGTTTAAAATGAATGAAAATTTATCCTAAAAAACTCTTGATTGAAAGATTATAAGTAATTTTTATAGTTAATATACCAGAGTTTTGACAGGAGAGATGATATAGGTAATATAGGCTTTGTGTAAAAACACACGCATGGGCTCAGGTTTGGGTTAATTGTAGAAGAAGTTAGTGGCACTAGATTTATTTTTTTTGTCAACTCATGGTTATTTACCTGTTCAAGTGAATTGAATGTATCATGATTAATGACTATGGTTCATAACACTTCTATATGTACATTCACAAGAAAAATAAATCATAACAACAATAATTAACAGCAACTCTAATAATTGAAAAAAGAAAGTATATTTTTGTGTGGGAAAAATTACCTCTGCGTTGGAGGGAAGGGTTGCCCTCGTAAACTTCTGAGCAAGTACAACCGTACGTCGTCAGATTCGTACTATTTATTTTCCAAAAGACGTTGAAATCCATGGTATCTTTGTTGTATGTACTATTGTTCATTATCTGTTCGCCGAAGGCCGGTTCAATAGGGAAAATTCAGCAGATCACGCCCACTATACCCACGATGCCATTTCTGAAGCCACGATCTCTCGTCTCCACAATGCCCACCATTTCTGGAGGCCGAGACACAAGACCTCAGTTGGGGGGAAGAAGCAGGAGGACGAACGGGCAGGGGACGCACCGAAACAGAAAAGAAGACGAGGAAACAGAACAAGGGGAGTTGGAAAAACAGAGAAAGACTGGGAGG